AATCTGTATGCTCCCAGTTCACGTTCCATTAGGGCAGAATGGCCAGACAATGTATAGGGTTCTCGCAGACCGCAACAGGTAAATCAAGGTATGTAACGAGTAATAATAATCTTCCTTACAAATCATATTTGTAATAGAAGAAACTTATTCGACTTGGGGAATTCAAAAGTGACTGTCATTCGTGATTGAACGTTTTTAAATGGGACGTAATTCAATGAGTAACCCTCGCCGCGTCTAGTGTATAGAGCGCCTGACCGGACAGCCTAAGTTCTGTGGTACGAGCCCCGGTAAGGCGTTAACAGACGGTACTTGCTGTTACCTTGCATCGTATTTGCCGTTATGTTGATAACTCAAGGGCTGGTCGTCTCGGAGTCATTGCACTGTGTCTAAAGGCGGGGTCCGTGTTGAAATGCGGCAACATAACTCAGTAGGGTAGCATGAGAAGGGAACAATCCCGAACACAACGTTTTTACCCAGTTTCGATTTCCCCGCATTATTCATTTATTATTGATAATAACTGATGATATTCTGTAAATTACCCACTTGGCTCCAGGGTCACAAAGATAAGTGTAATATGTATTCCGTTGGCAGCTGCCAATAGTCTGTCAGTTCCTCCTTACATTGAAGCCAACCGTATTTTTCACGTGTTTTCATCTCCAACTTCAGCAAGCATAAAACCTAAGCTCAGCTCCAATCTCAGCTATATATAATATACAAATAAAAACCCTACCTGTTCACTATTGTGTTACTTATTTTATGAAATATTAAAATTTAGATCTTAGGTCTTTATATCATATAATATCATACCATATTTAATTATAGATGGAGTATTAATATAGAGGAAGAAAGCTCAAGATGAATTTTCCATGAATGTGCCAGTTAAAGAGTATTCTTTTATCACATCGAGGTATAAATTTCAACAGCGGCGGGGAAAACTGGCAAAAGAAATTATTTATCACAAAACATTTAGGACAAACCAAGGTCAGCGTGACCTTCAGCAGAATATATACAGACAGTGATTCTCGTGTTTATTTGAACGATAGCCTGCTTTTGAATCTAATCATAGAGATGTACTTATGCAACAAGGCTTACACTGATTTGTTGATATCGGATTAAACGCTATGCAACGTAATTTACCCGGCGTGTCAGGTGCTGGCAGCTATATTAAGTATGTGACCACAAATCGGGATGAAACATACAGGGAACAAAGCAAGAAACCGGGAGAAAAGTGAATAGAACGCCTCCCCGGCTCAGCCCTGTCTTCACGGTACTACAACACCTGCATGTCACTAAAGTGAGTGAGTATGGTTTTACGACGCATTTAGCGGCATTCCAGCAATATCACGGCGGGGGACACCAGAAATGGGCTTCACACATTGTACACATATGGGGACTCGAACCCGGGTCCTACGCGTGACGAGCGGACGCTTTAACCACCAGGTTACCCCACCGCCCTTAAAGACATAGAGGATTGGAATTAGTTTTAAATTATCAACAGATAAACATAAAAAGACATAAACAGATGAAAGAAAATTGTTATCTTGTATACATATGCATAAAATATATTTATGCTAAAGCTGTTTAAACCTTATCTAACATAATTACACTCAAAATGAAATACGTGGTCAAAGTGAAGTGAACATTTCCCAATCTCGACATTCAGGACAACAATTGCAGCCTAATGGCGTTATGGATAGCCAACCGGTCAACATCAGCACGCTGTCATGGCCAGTTATATAAACATTTACAATTTGCACACTGAAAAGCTTTGGTCCAAGCAGAGACAATATGGTTGGTGCAAACCAACTACAGATATTTTTAGGATCACATCCTTTGAGAAGCGTTCGTAAAATACACCATGAGCCATACCAGTTTTCGAAAATTGCCCCATAAACTTGTCATATCGTTGATGCTCTGCGTACAGATATCTTACACGATAAGCGAACGTCAAGGATAATAGTGATAAAACAAATTTTAAAGTATAATCATCATGAAATATCACTACCTGAAATCTGAGCCTTTAACCACCAAGCTATAATGCTAAAGAAGATGATGACAAAATTCAAGTCATGAAAAGAGTAAAAGACGATAGCATGAAGCAAGAGTCTTGGCTTCGGGATAAATTGGCACACATGCAGCCCGGTCGATCATGTGACTGCGTTGGTGTGTTTTACGCCGGAGACAGATATACTGGATCATTAACACAGCTTTCTGAGCATAACTGAGTTAAACCAGTGGTTGATAACACGAGCAACATTCCCTGCTTGGTATACTGTGGCAGGTACAAGAGTACCTGGACTGTACCCAGGCTTGGAAACGCTAGGTTAGTGCTCAACATAAGCGCCCCTTTAAAACGGATGAAATGCCCGATTCAAATACCTTCAACATGCTGTCCTCATTATTATGCGCCAAATTTACAAAAATACCCACCCACTACAAGGTCACTGTGACCTAATTACACCAGTTGCACAACAGGTACCCCCACGCATCTTCGGATGTGTGTATGAGAGCCAGAGAAACTTGGCATTACCAATCTGTGGCCCATTTTCGTCACCGTCATTCGCATTCGTAACCAACTTATTGGTTATTCTTAGATGTTACGGAAAGGGCCGAGTGGTTTACGAATGCGTCATTCGGCTTGTTCCGGGAAGACACGAATTGTTACGAATGATGTGGGTTAGTCCATTACATTACTTGAGGCCGGCCAGGCATTATACTGAACACAAACACTCTAAGCTCGTGGAAATCAGCCAAACGTACTGGTAAACAACGTGTTAGCAATTGTTTACGCATTTGCCCACCGAAAGCTGGCTTCTGGTTGTGATTATTTCCGCTATCAGGTCGTGTTTTTATGTTTGTTTACCAACAACACTTTTTCTCTCATCATCAAGGCTTTCATAAACTGGTCCATAAACATCGTCGTATTCTCACCCACTCTCGCGAGATCAGGAGTATCATATTACATGCAGAAACATGTATTTTAATCCCGTGTTGATAAGAACGTATTTCTGGAATATGACGTAATCTGCACTGAAGTCTTCACATCAACACCTTCATCAACTCCGTATAAGCGTCTGGGCACTGAAGATAGTGCATGAGTGCATCAATGCATGTGCGTTTGTAAGCGTGTCTGCGTGCGCGCGACCGTGTATAAACTTCCCCTTAATATTGCCTGTCAGTACAGATGTGTTTATAAACATGGTCTGTGTGAATCTTCCTGTGAGAAACACCTTGAGGAAACAAAAATATACGTAATGATATACCATATAAACTGTATAATACCAATTCATATATAAGAATTGCTGTTACTATAATTATACATAACAAATCTGTTACAGTGTCTAATAGGCTCTACCCGTGAAGGTCCGGGTTAGAATATTGATCTTCAGTAACCCATGCTTGTCGTAAGAGGCGACTAACGGGATCGGGTGGCCAGGCTCGCTGGCTTGGTTGACACATGTCATCGGTTCCCAATTGCGTAGATCGATGCTCATCATGTTGATCACTGGATTGTCTGGTCCAGACTCGATTATTTACAGACCGCCGCCATATTGCTGAGTGCGGCGTAAAACTAAACTCACTCACTCACTCTAATAGGCTCTGTTGGTATCTGAGACGTGGACTACTTTTTTGCAGTGTAAGCCAACAAACTTACAAATACACATGACCCTATAAATCATTATTACAAGTTTGCATTATATAGGCCATTTATTGGCCGGTTGCGAAAGCAACCATCAGGTATTCCCTTCTAGTCTGTACATGTTACCGTTATATTCCTTCAATTGAAGTATGTGAGTATGGTTTTACGCCGCTTTTAGCAAATATAATCCTGCAAGATCACTGCGGGGGGTCACAATAAATATGCTTCACACATGGTACACGTGTGGGGAATCGAACCCGGGTCTTTGACGTGACGAGCGAAAACCATAACCACTCGGCTACCCCCACCAACCGAGTTCAGACGAGGGATAGCGATACAAATATAGATCGTCGATATCGAATATCAAACACCTGACATCGTTTAAGCTTTTGTTTTTGTGTGTGTTTGTAACACCACAGAAAAAAATATTCCAGCTGTAAAACGGCGGTCGGAGAATTATCGGGATTCTCAGAATGAAAAACGACCCGCGCCTACGGAATACCATACACAACCGCCCGATCCATTATGTTGCCTCAATCGTAGGAATCGTAGGTTGACATCATGAATCCCAAAGTGGGCACGATTTTGAAGGAACGCTCAACAACTGATGATGGATCACTGACTGACTGAGTTTGGTTTTACGCCGCTTTTAGCAATATTCCAGCAACATCACGGCGGGGGACACCAGAAATGGGCTTCACACATTGTACCCATGTGGGGATTCGAACCCGGGTCTTCGGCGTGACGAGCCAACGCTTTAACAACTAGGCTACCCCAACGCGCGATGATGGATCAGCATTCATAGATCCTCGTAATGAAATCACTGGACCTGTTGAGTGTCTTAAAATGATAAGCGATCCCCAGCCTCACTACATAATGTAATATATCATGTTAGTACCCACTCATGGAGAAAAGGTAAAATAATTTATTATCTTCATATAACCTTATCATTGTTCTGAAAGACGAGGCAAAAGGTGTCTCTCTTCCGCACTCCTTATCATAATGATACTATTATGTTTCAATGTATCAGTGACAGATTTAATCCCAGAAAGGGCACCAGTACTTGCACCAGTAGGTCATCATAATTGAGTCAGTGTATGAAATAAGCCAAAACCCCAGCCAGACATCAAGGCTGGTCACTTCAAAATGTTACCAGCCCAAATTGGATTTAACTAGACCAGACAATCCAAAGAAAATGTCTCAACTTTGAGTTCAATTGAATAATTTAATGAACCTGAGACATGCATAGAGTGTCTAACAGTCTATTTACAACTGTCATTTTCAGAGAAATCCGACAGTAATTGTCAAGTCTAAATGTAACGCTCAAATTGAAATATAGATTTTAAGATATCGTGAATTTACTCAGATGTATGGAACATGTTATCTAAAAAAATTTATCAGACCATCGGGCTGACTAGCTGTAAATTTTGACCGTCCGTGAGAAATCTAGCCCGTCTCGGGCAGTCGGACGGGCCTTATTTCATACACTGGTTGGGTATGTTTGTCCCTTTTTGTACATAATTACGATAAGCGTTTATCGACGGAGTTCCTGCGACCTCTTCCCTTGAACAAAACACGCGTAATGGGTTGATTAAGTCATTGCCAGCGCATGGTTATTTCAACTCTGGCGCACCCGTGAAGATCCGGATTTGAATTGATCTTCTGCAACCCATGCTTGACGTATGAGGCGACTAACGGGATCGACTCGTCGGGCTGTCTGACTTGGTTGACACATGTCATCGTGTTCCAGTCGTGTAAAGAGGCGACTAACGGAATCGGGTGGTCAGGCTCGATGACTTGGTTGACACATGGTCGATGTTCATGATGTTGATCACTTGATTGTCTGGTCCAAACTCGATTATCTACAGACTGCATCCGTTTAGTTGGAATATTGCTGAGTGCGACGTTTAACAACATACAAACAAGCAAACAAAAACTCGGGAGCCGCTGAGACAACTTACAAAAGAGAGGCTTTGCCTCTAAACAAGGGGTCTATATATTTGTCAGCATCTATAACAATCCCATTTATTGTATACAGGTAAGCAAACCCCTAAACATAGGGGATGAGTCTTGGTGTGCTCCGATTAAAGCGTCAAGTGGCTATAGACCGTATACTCACGAAGGACAAGCTGGCATTGGGTCTTGCCCAGTTCGACCAAATATGAAGGCGTGTCTGCAACCGTTACCATGACGACCTTGTGTTTATTTAGCAACGTGTCATTCTTGCCGTGGATGGAACAGAACCTGTTGGATCCAGTGCCATTAATATACCCACATATTTGAAACTTTGTTTAGAGTTTGGGAAACAAGTACCCAGGCTTAATGCATTTACAACGAAAGTACCTCTTCGCCATGTTTCTTCAAGCCGATTCCTATTTTGAGGTCTTATGTTAATGCAACCCGAGACCGCTGCACGCAAACAACGTTCTTGTCTTTTAAACGAGATTTTACAGTTTCCGAAATAATTACGAGTATCGCTGAAGTACGTCCCAGTTTTACAGTAACAGGAAATCACTGATTGCGTACGATTGTAAAACCCTACACGACCCACGCGAAGCCGTACTGACCGAGCTTCTCTTGGCCATGGCTGACCAATGTTGGTAGTGACTTACGTTATACCTTTTCGACAACAGTTGCCCATCTTTGCTGAACTCATTGGACGCTGGGACCCTATCCACATAGCCTTCGTAGCTTTACGACATTCGTAAGTCAGTGATGTAGTATAGAGTAACGATAGGTCGTAACGTTACGAACGCTTTGCGGATCGGGCCAAATACTCCATTTAATAGCGACGTCATCGTTAAAGTAAATCATTTGTTACACGTATGTACTACGACATTAATACTACAGGCAGTAATACAAGCATTTCAATGAAAAACAAATATAGAAAACAAACAAAAATCGCACCGCATGAACTGTTACGCATAGTATATTACTCATATTTGACAGTTGAAAATAATAAAGATTCAATAACATGAATTCCGATGAAGATTTGCATTTGTGTTCGATGTTATTGTGAATTTCTTGTCATTTTTGAAAGAAAAAGTACAATGGCAGCTTCCAGCAATGAAAACCTGGTTAACCTCTGCTCACTGTGTGTTTTAGCAATATTCGTGACTGGTGTGATTCTCCTAGAAGGTGCTTTGTGCAACATCTGGGGTTGCATGTTATGCATTCTATTTCGGGTACTATCGCACATTATCATTGATAAATATTGGTTCTCAAGCTGCAAATGAGGTTGATTCAGGTCACTAATTCTTTTTATAAAACGAACTGATCACGACTAACAATTAACGTTACATACTCAGAACGTTATGACGTTGTTTCACGTTACCTTTATTGTAGTACAAACGGTGATGTACGCTGTACTTTGTGGCAGCAATAATCCCTATTACTTGACATTTAATGAACATCGCAGTTCAGGCAACGCTAATATAAACTTGATGCAAGGAAGTTCCCCCAAAGCGTGACACGTCATTAGCTGCAGCGTGATGAGAACAGGCCATAGTACTTACCTCACGACTACTTGCATTAAATAAGAAATAAACACCTAGCTGGATGCTCAGTACGAAGAACCCAATCATCACCACATGTTATAAAGATGTCCTAACTCCCGAGTCTCAGGTAGTTTTCATCCAAGTACCATCATCTGGGAGCACGCTGTGAAGGTTAGTCTCAATACGATGAAACGTTTTTTGCATTAACCTAAATAAAACCACGTTGATTCGGTCAATATTTTGCATTGGTGGAATTTAAACCGAGAAAACATTACTTGTTCCTAATGACACTGGTTAATGAAGGGGATCGACATGGCCATTAGTTTGCGCAGTTGGAGTTGAAAACAGTTCGTGGTCAAACAACTTCCAACTTCTATTTGCGATTATCCCAGCGTATGGCGTGAGTCACGTTACATGGCGTGTGTAATAGAATATAAAACGTTAAAACCAGAGCATAACTAGTTGCAGTTATCCGTCGAAACCAATTCCACAGTGCGCAGTAGATACACTTAGTGAAGCGTTGGCAAAAACATGTGAATGGATCACCGAAAGCAGTGATGACACCAGGTGTTCTTATTTAGTAGCAACTTAGTTTGACTGTAACACCAGGTGTTCTTATTTAGTTTCAACTTAGTTTGACTGTAACACCAGGTGTTCTTATTTAGTTGCACTTAGTTTGACTGTAACACCAGGTGTTCTTATTTAGTTGCAACTTAGTTTGACTGTAACACCAGGTGTTCTTATTTAGTTGCAACTTAGTTTGACTGTAACACCAGGTGTTCTTATTTAGTTGCAACTTAGTTTGACTGTAACACCAGGTGTTCTTATTTAGTTGCAACTTAGGTTGATTGTAACACCAGGTGTTCTTATTTAGCTCATAGCTTTGACTGTAACACCAGGTGTTCTTATTAGTTGCAACTTAGCTTTTGACTGTTACACCAGGTGTTTCTTATTAGTTGCAACTTAGATTTGACTGTAACACCAGGTGTTCTTATTAGTTGCAACTTAGTTTTGACTGTAACACCAGGTGTTCTTATTTAGTGCAACTTAGTTTGACTGTAACACCAGGTGTTCTTATTTAGTTGCAACTTAGTTTGACTGTAACACCAGGTGTTCTTATTTAGTTCAACTTAGTTTGACTGTAACACCAGGTGTTCTTATTTAGTTGCAACTTAGTTTGACTGTAACACCAGGTGTTCTTATTTAGTTGCAACTTAGTTTGACTGTAACACCAGGTGTTCTTATTTAGTTGCAACTTAGTTGACTGTAACACCAGGTGTTCTTATTTAGTTGCAACTTAGTTTGACTGTAACGCTCAGCAGGGGGGAAGTTTCCAGACTTCTTGAATAATCAAACGTCCTTACAGCGCTAATCATATTGAAGATATGAAGATATATATGTATATACAAGGAACAAGGAATATCGCTACAGGAAGCAGACCCGTGTACATCCGGGTTACAATTGGTCTTCAGCAACCAACGCTTGTCGTAAGAGGCGACTAACAGGATCGGGTGGTCAGACTCGCTGACATATGTCATCGTATCCCAATTGCGTAGACCGATGCTCATGCTGTTGATCACTAGATTGTCTCCTCGATTATTTACAGACCGCCGCCATATAGCTGGAATATTGCTGGGCGTGGCATTAAACAACAAACAAACAAATTACAGGAAGCATGCCATTTGCTGAGCCGGAGAGGACTGCTAATCATACGCTGACACTGTTATAGGTGATCGGGAAAGGAAGTGTATACATGTGTACATATGCCTCTGTTCACCCAGCAGTGAATGGGTACCAGGTAGGTAGTAATGTGACTATTGTACCGTCTTGGCGGCATGGACTGTGTTACCCCAAGGGAGAAAACAAAATGATCCACTGATCATTATTGTTTCAGTTTGGTGACCATTTTATTGAACTAACAGAGTGGTCAAAATGAAGTCTTTTTCATAAGGTCCAAGGTTATCTGTGTTCCGTACCAATGAACCCATAATTCAACAACAATAATAACAATGATAATGATCAGCACTGTAATCAACTCCTTATAAACTTAATCTCAATGAAAACCAAGCTGGCTATGTTGTTATTTTGCTCAGTGAGTGAGTCAGTGGAGAAGCATCTCGCAGATGCCTGGGAGTTTGATAAATCTGTGCACTTTACACCCAGCGACCCTGACGTAAATGCTCCACAAAAAACAAATGACTTTAGTTCTCGTCCAAGTTAAATATTCAGGAGCGGGCATGTGGATGTTTATAGCGTGTATTTCAATCTGACTACGCAGGACAGCTAAATATCTTATTTATGTTAATGATATAGAGTGGATGAGATACTTCTGGTAGGTTCTGATATAATGGGCGAAAATCGTTAGTTCAAGTTTATGATAAACGTGCATGAATCTGGTGATTGAACTCGAAATTTTCCGACGGACTTTAGTGATGCACCTGTAAACTGAACTCTTAGTAAAATCTTCGGATAAGAATGAAATAATAAGATACGAAGCCAAACATTATCCCTATCCTCCATTTGACGCCTAGATGTCAGTTAATCTGATCTGTATGTTTCTTTGATCTTCAGGGGCGGTGAGGTAGCCTAGTGGTTAAAGCGTTCGCTCGTCACGCCGAGGACCCAAAGTTCGATTCCCCACATGGGTACAATATGTGAAGCCCATTGCCGGTGTCCCTCGCCGTGATATTGCTGGAATATTGCTAAAAGCGGCGTAAAACTAAACTCACTCACTATTTGATCTGTAACCCCGTCGCTACATGACGGCTGCATGTCCATCATCTGGAAAACAATCCAGTGATTGATATTACGAGCACATGTCTACCGTCGGTGAGTGACAGGCAATCAACCAACCACCCGATCTCCCAAACCAATTTAGACGCCATTCACGTGTGCATAATCAATTGAGACAGTTTGATGCCAGCATCCCCAGGTATTCCAGAAAGGTATTCCGATAACCCTTGTACCATCTGAAAACAGTTCGTCTTGCCCTCTTCTCCTAATACTTGTTTGATCCTGGCCAGATGTTTAGTCATTGATACAGACTCGTCGGCCTGCCCGGTATGTGTTTGGCAGTATCTCAGTGGGTCAACCGTACGTCTGACCTTGACCTATGCATAATGCTGGGAGCGTTTGGTTTGTGTTCGGTTTGTCCTGGTTTGCATGGAGCTGTTCAACCTCTGAATCCCCATCATATAGGAGTGAGTGAGGTTTAGTTTTACGCCGCTTTTAGCAATATTCCAGCAATATCACGGCGGGGACACCAGAAATGGACTTCACACATTGCACCCATGTTGGGAATTAAACCCGGGTCTTTGGCGTGACGGGCGAACGCTTTAACCACTGGGCTACACCACCACTCCGATGAGGAAGTGGTTTTGGGTGGTTTGAGTGAGTGAGTGAGTGAATTTAGTTTTACGCCTCTTTTAGCAATATTCCAGCAATATCACGGCGAGTGACACCAAAAATGGCCTTCACACATTGTACCCATGTGGGGAATTAAACTCGGGTCTGCGGCATGACGAGCGAACGCTTTAACCACTGGGCTACCCCACCGCCCCGGTGAGGAAGTGGTTTTGATGGTTGATTTTGCATCACTTGTGTTTTTCACTGAAATATGACACATACCTATTGTTGATTGTTGAGAGGAGAGACAGTTCCCCTTGAAAGGTCTGTGTGTATGGGGTGATAAGATAATTCAGTCAGTCAAGAGAAGGCAGCCATTAAGCCGACTCCCGATGGTCAAACCCCAACGATGATCTACACAACCAGACCCATATGTTCCGAGCAGTGTGCTTGTGCCTTTTGGCTCACTAATTGCCATCAATCATAATGACTGAAATCTCTGTTATTTTGATTACCCATAAGGCAGCTGTCACTCTGTTGTCAAACCACCACCGTTAGCTGCCTGGAACTAGGGCGCTGCCAAGGTGAACTGGTTCCCCTGTTGATAAGCGCAGGTAGTGATGCACCGAATAGCACGCCAAGTGGTAATGCTAGTCTCTCTCCCAGACCATAGAGAATTTGGCCTTACTGAATTTCCTTCACTCACTCTGTCTTAGACGTTTATCCGTCTTCTACATGTAATTCCAGCGAAGACTGATTGTTTACTTCCTATGAAAATAACTAAGGATGATAATATTCCGAAAGATACACAAAATATTGAAAAAATATATATAAAACTACGGTTATAACGAACTCAAATGGACCACTTAATTTAGTTCGTTATAACCACAATTCGTTACAACGAGAGTTCGTTATAAGCATTTCGACTAATCTATGAAGTAGGTGGCCGTTGCCAAAAAAATCAGTTCGTTACATCCGTTATAAGCACGTTCGTTATAAACGTAGTAACTGTTTACAGTATCTACAAAGTGATTGAGTTAGTTTAGTTTCACGCCGAACAGTATTCCAGCTATATGGCGGCGGTCTGTAAATAATCGAGTCTGGACCCAGACAATCCAGTGATCAACTGCATGAGCATCGACCTGCGCAATTGGGAACCGATGACATGTGTCAACCAAGTCAGCGAGCCTGACCATCCCGTTAGTCGCCTCTTACGACAAGCATGGGTTACTGAAGATCAATCTAACCCGGATCTAACCAGGACCTTCACGGGTCGTATCTACAAAGGAGACAAAGGAATAACATACAAGAAAAGCGAAGAACATTTCCTGATTTCAGCTTACAGCTGAGGCAATATACACTTGCCCGCTCATTCTTCACAAAAGTTGGACTCCTTGTTCAATATAATTATTCTTTAGGGTCTGGTAGACTTGCACAAGTCTCTAAGGTAATTATTAATAGTTGAAATGATAATTTATAAAAGATATAAATATCCTCCTAACAGACTGGTCTCCTTAGAGGCTGTACGGTCCACTTATCTAGACTTGCCTCTTTATAGGATTCAGATTCATGGGCTCAGCATTCAGTACAACCTTTGAGCTAAGTCCTGGCGGCAGGCTGAAATACATGGTCAGACTTGCACAAGTTTCTGAGGTAATAATTAATAGTTTAAATGGTACATTCTAAAAAAACTATAAAAAAGAACACATTGCCCCTCTAACAGACTGGTGTCCGTTATCTAGATTTGCCTCTTTAAAGGATAGAATTTCAATACATCCATGGGCTCAGCATTCAGTACAGTCTTGGTGTAAGTGACTTTAGTATTACGCCGCTTTTAGCAATATTCCAGTAATAGCACGGCGAGGGACACCGGCAAAGGCTTCACATATTGTATCCATGTGGGGAATCGAACCTGGGTCTTCGGCGTGACGAGCGAACACTTTAACCACAAGGCTACCCCACCGACCCGTATAGCCTTGGAACTTGGCATGCTATGACGTTAATTG